CCCTATTATTTTTTATTATATTAAATTAAATTTTTTTCTCTCCTATTTTGAATCACATAATTTTCAATAAAATAATATTACACATAAATTAAAAGCTTTTTAACCACTCATTTTTCAAAAAAATACTATTTATCTTATTATAATCTACAAATAATAGAGCTCAAACGGCTATTTAGATTTGATAGTTAAGTAATTTTAAACGGTTCAAAATAAAATAGCAGTAAATGAGTAAAATGTTTAGTGGCTAATCGCTTGTCGAGTCACATGTCTACCTCTTCACCGAAAAGAACATTATGTATTTTTAAAATCTATCAAAAATAATATTAAAATGTGTAACAATAACTAGTGTCAGAAAGAGAGGATATGCTCGAAAATGAAGTGGAAGTACAATAATTTAGATAAAATAATATATAATAAAAAGGAAAATGAAAAATGAAACGAAGTGCCTATCTATAGCTGGAAAATGCTATTCGTATATCGGAGTTGACATTTCAGTGTACACTCTCTTCATATAAAGGGATGAATCCCACGACAGTATAAAATCTTGTGATCTTCCATGTGAGCGGAGTGTGCTCCGAAGTGTCAACCCCAATATACATGTAGCAAAACTCATAAAAAAGCTTCCTGAAGTTCGAATTATTCACGATTTAATATGATTTAAAAAATATTGTTATAATTATTGAGGCATGATTTTTATCTTCAAAAGGTCAATTTTGTAAAAATAATATATCAGTAATTAATTTGAAGTAAGTATTCAGATATGTGATTCATGTCAAAAGGAGTACTTAACTTTTCTTAATTAATAGTTTTGAGAATACTTATCTAAGAATTCAACAGTTCAGAGGCCTTTGGTGTCCCCTCCAGTCAAGAATTGAGGCCTCACAATTACTAGCCAATAGGCTTTTCTCTCATGCTTTTCTTCGTTCATGGTTCGATATTCTGATATCCTAGGCGTAGAGGAACCACACCAATCCATCCCGAACTTGGTGGTTAAACTTTAATGCGGTGACGATATTGTAGGGGAAGTCCTGCGGAAAAATAGCTCGACGCCATCATGCACTGTTTACAATTTTTTTAGCTCTGAAGTACTTACAACCTTGGAATGTTATCTTTAAATGTAAAAAACTTGTTAACAAGTTGCATATTCATAGCCTGTTTGAGTCTCATATTTTGTATAGAATGTATTTTTGAATAGTGGATTGATACAAAATGTGTAATTGAAAAATAAGAAAAAAATTAAATTTACGTATAATATTATTTTATTAAAAATGTATAATTGAAAGGATGATAGAGAAATATATTTTGAAAGTAACGAGGATCAAACAAGGGGCTGAGTTTAATTAATAATTATGGAAACCATTACAAGAAGTTGGTGGTAATCCTAGGGGCTAATTGAGTTTAACGAGAAGCGTTGAGTGGGGTTACTATTGAAATTATTGTCCCTTGTGCGGCCCATTGATTATTATTTGACTGCAAATCATTTTTTAACTGACGCCTCCAATATCACATAAATTCGACTGACAGACTCATTTGGCTCCCACTGAATCACCAACAAAAACTAGTACCGTCGGAAATGATGTTGGTACCAAGTTGCAGACGATACTCCTCTACCTCGTGCAAATAAATTATCAATGCAGTAGCTTTGGGACATAGTCAGTGATGCAAAGGATAAAAGTGAAATTATTTCACATTTTGTTAGCAAATGCAGTATGAGGGTTCAATTCTTAAAATATAGAATTAGATTCTTTATAGGCGTAGTGTACATACAGCTCTTGTTCCATGACCTAACGATTTACCTCTATCACAAAACTCTAGAGGCGGGATGATGGAGCTCTCAAAATTGGGGTTCAACATTTTTTTTTTTAAATTATTAATGCAGTAGTTAATAATTTTTATTGGAATTCTTAAATAACGCATTATGAATGTCAGGGATGAAGTCCAATTTGATATGATGAAACTAGCAACTGGATATATATATTTTACGAATGCCTTCTAAATATAGTAAGGCTTTAGTTTGATAATAATTTTTAATTTTAAGGTTCCTAATCTTTTAGATTTTACCAACGTGTATCATTTTATATATTTATCAAAGAATAATGTTACTTTATCAGGTTGAAGTCGACTGACAAAAAAATATTTCTTAGTCTAAATTATTTATTAATTGAATATTAGTCATACTCGAACTTCGACTTTCTCCAATTAAATGAAAATTACCAGCATATCGACGTTATTGATGGATTGCAGAGAATGCCAGGGAAATTTTCGTGATATTTTTGGAGAGTTTTTGGTGAATCTGTTGTTTAGAAAGAGAGTTTTTGTGGAACCCGTTTTGTAGGGAGAGAAAATCTCGTTTGATTATGGTTGGAAAATAAAAAATGTCTTTAATTATGGCATATTAGTAATTTGTAGGAGATTATAATTTTTTTATCCAAATTTAACGTATATAACATTATATTTTTATATATTTAATATTTTCAATTATCACCTGGATTATGAAAGTTTTAAGGAACTTTGTTAATTGTGAAACATGTTTATATAATATAGTAGATATGTGGTTATCCCTTAAAAGTAGTCCCATTGAAATTTGAAATCTTATAGGCCCATTATGTGGGACTCCTCCTTGTAAGGACCTACCCAAAATTTTAGGAAGCACAATTCAAAAATCAAATTTAAATAATTTTTTTTTGCAAAATTCAGATACCTTATTCATCTTTTAATATTATAAAATTAAATTAATTAGCATACTCCATCCACTCCACCTCATTTTCAAACCCTAAATTTATTTCTCTATTCTCTAAACTCTCTCATCTTTCTCTAGCAATTTCAAACCTAAAATTTCCATTTTCCTTCTCCGTCTCTCTCCTATCTCCTCTCCTCTCATTCTTCATTCTATTTCTGTTGGCAGCGTAGTCACGTGAAATCGCCTTGAGAAGCAACTAATACCCACCATCGTTGTCCCTTGCCACCAATAATTCTTCTCTCTCTCTCTCTCACACACACACCCCGTGGGATACTTTTAAGAAAGATCTAGTCAAAAGACTATTTTTTTCACATTGATCAAATTTTTTTTGCCATTCACCAAAAGAGCATTTTGAAGAATAAATGTCATTTTTGCCCTTATTATGTTTTGTAATTACAAAAACATATTATTTGCTCAAAAGACAATAATACCCTCTTTAAAAAATTAATAAATCCAAACAATCCCACTTAAATTTCAAAACAAAATCACTTTCCTTATCAGATTCTCCAACACAGTTAAAAAGAAATTTTCTCTTCCATCTGTTTGAACATTGAAATCTTAAAAAATTATTAAAGACTCAACAAAAAATATTACTCATAGTCGGCACTTGAAATTGGTAAGTATAAATACGTATTTTTAATTTCATTTTAATTAAATTAGTACACTGTTTGAATCTTTAAATCTTATTTCAACGTATTATTTTAGAAAAATAAATTATTACAGTTTTAAATGAATGTATAATTTTTTTTTAGCAAAAACCAGGAAAAAAATTTATCTGTTCAAATGCAAAATGGAGAAGACAACCGGCCTCGTCATAACATCCGGCCCAGACGCCCAAGCCGGATGTTAACAGTCAGCCAGGTTGTCCAGGCCGAATGTTAAACAACCGGCCTAGGCTCTCTTTTTTAATGATTGTGTGTGTCATATTTTTTTCGTTATTTTATTCTCGTAATTACAATTTTTTTAATAAATGATGTTTCTTAATGCAGATATGGGATTAACTGCTGTCCTGATTTGTTACTTTAGTGAATTTGAAAATAATGAAAATGATCGATGGGTGTGAAAATGGACAAGTGAAAGACATAATTATACTGCAATTGTAATAACATCAAGTACATCATATGCAGAAATGTACAATGAGATAGAGAACTTGCTGAAAGTAAATCTTTCTGAGTACGACATGGAATTGGGATTTCTAATAGGCGAGTATACATCCATTTCAATTCCACCTATAATGGTTACTTTTGAAGCTGAAATGAAGGTTTTAATTGAAATGAACCAAAAACGTGCGATTCCTGTTTGCGTAACTTTGATGAAAAATAATGTCCCCGAGAGTGAACACGAAGATTTCGATGGAGGGGATTGTAATGTGAATGGGTTTTAGGACACAGTGAAAATAGTGCGTGATGATGTTGTGGCTATTTCAGAGACAGTTGCCCCTCGCCATGATCTCACTGTTACACACAGAATTTGCTCGGTAGTTCAAGACAACGAAAGAGATAATGACTTTATAAATGAGAATTTGATTGCTTTATCTTGTCTGAGACATGAGTCGAGTGTGAGCTCACAGGTTAGACCGAGTGCACGGTCCTCTAATCATTCGCTTGTGGCCTCAGATAATGAAGATTTGTATGTTGAGCAACTGTTTGACACGAAGAAAGATTTGCACGAAGTTGTTCACCGGATTGCTTTAAAACACAATTTTGAGTTTAAAGTGGAGAAATCAAACAAGTCGACTTACACAATTGTCTGCGTTGACAACAGTTACCTTTGACATTTGTAAGTAACAAAAATGGACACGAATGAGTTCTTTGTGGTTTGTAAGTATGTATGGAAACATACTTGCGAAGTGGGTATTCGTCCAAATGATCACAGGCAAACCCGATAATGGTTAATTGGTCGAGAAGTAATGCACAAGTTTTAGGACCCACGAACAATCTACAGACCTTCGGACATTATTAATGACGTTCGTCGAGAGTACGGGGTGGTCATGAGTTATCAGAAGGCTTGGAAGGCCAAAGAATGCGTGTTGGAGGACTTGATAGGCTCAACCAAGGAAAGTTATGCTAAATTGGCCAGGCATTTCTTTTCTTAGATGTTTATTTAATATTTATTTCAAATGTTAATTATTCATTTTAATTGTTTAATTAATTATTTAATCAATTGTTTACTTAATGTCTAACTAATTCAGTCATTAATTTCAATTGTTTATTTAATTATTTATTGATTCTTTATTTAATGTGTAATTAATTATTTAATTCAATTGTTAATTTTTTAATTTTTTAAATATTTTTTTATTTAATTATTTAAATTATAATTATTGTTTATTTAAATTGGTCAGGTTTTGCTATAATATGGAAAGAATAAATATTGGATCGACATTTTTTATTGAGAAGGATGACGAGAATCGCTTTAAGTAGTTCTTTATGGCTCTTGGACAATGCATTCGAGGATTTCAAAAAGCAATGCGACCCTTAATCCTAGTCGACGGTACAACCCTTAAGGCGAGATACGAGGGCAAATTGATTATTGCAACATGTGAAGATCCTAATTTCCGAATTTACCTTTTTGCATTCGGCATAGTTGATGGAGAAAATGATCTGAAAATGCGTTGATTTTTCACGAAGTTGAGAAAAGTAATTGGAGATGTCGAAAACCTTGCATTTGTAACCGATCGAGGGCGGTCAATAATTAACGATATCGTCGAAATCTTCCCCGAGGCACATCATGGTTATTGTACGTACCATATACAAGGAAATCTGAAGACCAAGTATCGAGGCAAGGACATCGTTACGTTGTTTAGGAGAGTTGCAGAGGCTTACAGTTTTCAAGAGTTTGAAAAGTTTATGGTCAAAATAGAAAGTAAATCCTATGATGCATGGAAATATCTGACAGAGATGGGGATCGAACATTGGGCACGATCACATTTTCCAGGACGTCGATACAACATGATGACGTCGAACAATGCGAAATCGTTCAATGCCTTATTCAAGAAGGATCGAGAATTATCAATTTTCGCAATGTCTGAAACATTCGTGACAAGCTGCAACAGTGGTTTCATGATCATCGTGAAAAATCACAAAGTTGCACAAGTGTGCTAATCCCGGCTCAGGAAGATAAACTCTTCAAGACTCTAGAGGTGGCAAGGAAGGTATATGTAGAACCACTGGACCAGTTTCGCTCTTCCGCGAGATGTGCACGTAATTTTGGATGCATCGTCGACTTGAATGATAACACGTGCACGTATAGACAGTTTTAGTTGGAGAGTTTTCTATGTACACATGCAGTGGAGGTGGCTATGTATAGATGAATTCCACCACACACCTTATGCAGTGTTTATTACAAGACTGGTTCTTGGAGAGCAGCATATGTCGAAACCATATTTCCTATACTGAATGAAGTCGAGTGGGAAGTTCCCGATCACATTTGCTCATTGAATAACTTGTTGCCACCAGTAGTCGGCCCATGTACTCTTGGACGTACACGTACGTCTAGAATATCATCGACCGGAGAATTTTTCCAACCTCATAAGTGCGGCAGGTGCTGTGCAACAGGACATACTAGAAGATTTTGTACAAGTCAGATCCCTCTGCATGATAACGTAACAAATGTATACTTGAAATTTATGTAACATTATTTATAACATTGACATTAATTATTTATGCATATTATTAATGTTAATTATTTATGTTAATTATTAGATTTAGTTTTTTATTTCAATATTTCATTAATTAGTTTCGTAATATTTGAAATTTTTTTTTAGAACTCAGTGCGTTCTCCACCATATATCCAAACATTATAAATACGTCATGAAACATTTAAATAAACACATAAACTAAAAAATAAAAATAAAATATTAAAAAAATAATATATATTTTACAATTATTTCGTAATTACAAATGAATGAATGAATGAAATATGCAATGTTTAAACGTTATAATATGTATAATTATTTTTAAAAACATGGCTTCAGTATCAACGGATCACCATTAAATTCAAATAAATCACAAGCTAATTTATTTCTCCAATTTTGTATCCACGCTTGGTTGATTACATCGACTTTCTGTGCTACACTCAAAAATTCTATGTACTTGATAGCGAACATGCCACAATCACCCCTACAATTACAAAATATTGTATTAACACATCACCGTCTAATTAGAACGGAAGTTGTAAATTACAAAAATAAAATAACAAACACTTTTGATATTTGCTGTCTTGCCATCGTCGCGTCCCTTACGGTGGTCAGTCTGTCCTGCACAGTAATTTCGCTCCTCTAGCCAGCATGGGGACGATCACAGACACCGACTCCAGATTTTGCTCGAGCTGACCTTGTGCCCGGCATGAATGATCGGGGTCATATAAATACGTAGTCGAGTCGACGAATACAATCTTCACTACAATGTAGTGATAATTCACACACACCGGGATGTATGGATGCGTACAACCATCCCATGGCTTTCCCCCTACACTCGGCCACATTTCTACTACCCACTCCATCATATATGTAGACATCGTGTACTCGCTATCCATAGTTTGGAACGTCTGGTACTCAATGTCAATGGCACGTATGAACTCAGTGTTCAATATGAGTCGGCCAGGAATGTTGAACGATCTTGAATGTCGTTCAGCTCGATCTCGTAGCAAATCCAAGGCGAAGTCAATGTGCTGCACCAGGAAACACCAATTAAAAAATGAGTAATTTAATTTTATAAATTCAAAACTCAAAAATATGTATACGTAATAAATAACAATATTATTACTTCACTTACTTCGTCGGCGAGCCAAGCCCCCGAAGTGGTGATGTCGTGAAACTAGTTGTAAGCGTCCGAGATCTTCTTATGAGCAATCCTGCGACTGACTTTGAAAAATAAGTAAAGAAATTGTGAAGTAAAAATATAGATGTGTCAGCATCTGCGTAATGTACTAATCCTTAACGAATAATACAATACTTACCCAGGTGTAATTGCTCTCCACTCCATCTTGAACCCTTTCCACTTGATGTAGTCCACCTTCCTGAATAAATTCGGCGCGTGCCATCGACGAACCTCCTCCTCTTCGCCTTCGCGATAAACGGAGAAATGACGTACTGTGATGGTACCCTTGGCCTCTTGCTGACTACCAGCTCCGACACGTCAACAGTACGTGACACCCTCCCGATCTCCGACACTCCCTCACCTACCATCGGGACCACATCCTTTGTCCTCTCCGACACAAAAACTACGTCCGGCGAGTTTGGCGTCCGAAATGGTACCCTCTCCGCTTCGGGTACCCTCTCCTCCGACACCCTCACGACCTCTTCCTGCAGCACCCTCCTGACCTCCGCCTTCGGTATCCCCTCCTCCTCCGACATCCTCACGACCCCTCCTCCGGCACTCTTCCAACCTTCGCCTTTAATACCCCCTCCTCCTCTGACACCCTCCTCCTCCGATACCCTCCTGACCTCTTCCACCGTCTCCATCGGAGCTCGATTCTCCATCTCCATCTTCATCGGGCCACCGAGATATGAAATTAATGCATTATCCGATGCTCACAACGAGTTAACATACCCCGTCTAACCTCCTCGACCCTGACAACCACCGGTCCCTCCGTCACCCCCTCCGTCCCGATAGCCACCTGTTCCTCCATCACCCTCTCCGTCCTGATAGCCGCCTGTCCCTCCGCCACCCACTCCATCTCGATACTCACTAGTCCCACGCAAGCCTACTATGTCGCCTCGTATCGCTACGACCTCAGTATAAAAGTCTCCTAAACCGACCTGTACCATCCTGACATCACATCGTAAGTCAACTACTTTGCTTCGTAAGTGAGCTACGTCGTCTCTGATCTCCATCATAAGTCGGAACATATCATCAATGGAAGCACTCTGTCTACATGCAGCTGATCCACGTGGGAGGTGTCTGGACGCAGGAGACAGTGATCTCATGTAGGGAGGTGACACTCTCGGCGAAGGTGATCACATGTAGGGAGGTGACACCCTCGACGGAGGCTATATCCTCGGGGAATGTGACACCCTCTGCGAAAGTGATAATCGATTGCGCTCCTAAAAAAATAAACGTTACAAATGAATAACTTAATTAAAAAATTATAACGATAATCAACATATTATATTCAATTAACATACCGTGTCTCGATCGACGATGGACTCAGGCCTCTCTCGAGTAGCACGATCTGTCAACAACTCATGGATATAAGTCTGATCCTCCTCCTCGATCGATGGTGTCAGCTCATTGAGGACTTCAAGCTGACATATTGACATTTCATCAAATTACTAACCACGTATCGAGATTTCGAAAATGACATATAACAGAAAACACAAATATATAATACGTACCTCAAGATCGTCGAGAATAGCTGATAACTGTTTTGCAAGAGGCTTATCTTGTACTCGCCAGCGGTGCATCCGAGGGATGCATGTATCCCCTCTCGCATACCGACCAACCAGGATGGGGATAGTCTCGTAGACCCATATTTGCAACAATTACGATTATTTTATGTACAATTTAATAAAAAAAAATAGATAACTCATTATATTAAACATTTACCTGCAAAACTAACGACATGCTATACACATCGTACTTACGTTCTGGCCTATCTCCCATAGGCATCGAATGCCCCTTCCTGAAGACGTGTAAAGTATCAACAAAGCATCTTTGCCCCCACGGATAGCTGTTGAACGTATCGATGTCATCAACAGCTTGCAAATAAAAAACGTCAATCGACGTCTTCCTGTGATGACACCTTGGTACGCTCTCCAGTATAAACAACATCCCTAACTTTAACTTGTCGGACATCTGGTTGCATCCCCTGAATGCATCTCCTAACTGCACTAGTATCAATGTTGTGTGTCCATTAAAATAATCATTCAGCAGCCTCTTGTCTATCGAAATACTGGCTCCCACTACCTCTTCGCCCGTACATCTCAATCCAATGATGATGGCAAACTCGAGTATAAAAAATGTAGCAACATTGCCCCCGAGATCAAAATAGAGAGCATCTCCGTCAACTGGCTTAAGCAGCCGACACAATAATGAATTGATTAATAGTCCAGAGAACTGTACAGATCGCAGCGAATACAAGGGTCATAGGCATGATCGACGTAATATCCCTGCGTGCTCCTTGTCTAATGAATCTAACACTGCTGTGAAGCTGACAAAGTTACAGTTCGCTAGGACCTCTCTCAAGGCTGCGTCCAAATGGTAATCCATCCTACAAAATTTCAAATGTTAGAACATTTGAAACATAATGTTACAAAATTCAACTAATCGAACTGTAAGTAATATACGCACGAAATGACAGATAATAAAGAAAATGAATTAAAAATTAGACAACAACTTATAAAAAGCGAAAAACAAATTTTTGTAAAATTATTTATTTCATAGTTTATTTTAATCCATGTTAGAAATTTATTTCCATTCTTTATTTAATTAAATTTGATTATTTATATTTAATTACACATTTAAATAAATTATTTTGAAAAATTATATTTCTCAATTATTTAAATTGTTTATTTTTATTTAAATGTTCATTATTTATTTCAATTGTTTATTTGTTTATTTAACATTTATTTTAATTGTTTATTGAATGCTTAATTTTAATTATTTATTATAATTTTATATTTAATTATTTTCTTTAAATTATTTATTGAACATTTAAACGTAAATATGTAATTATTCGTTATATTTTCTTTAGTTGTTTATTCAATATTTATTTTAATTATTAATTGAATATTTAATTATTTATTTTAAATGTTAGATATTTATTTCAATTGTTTATCTACGTTTTAATTACTTACTTTTATTATTTTAATCCAATTATTTTTCATTTATTTGTTTCAATTGTTCATTTAAATTATTTGATTTAATTACTTATATTGATCGATTATTTAAATTATTTATTGAACAAGTGAACATAAATATTTAATTATTTATTTCAAACGTTAGAAGTTTATTTCAATTAAACTTTAATTAATATTTTGATTATTAACATTTATTCATTTATCATCTAAATAATCATTTAATTATTATTTAAATGTTCATTATTTATTTTTGTGCATTTCGATTAATTATTTATTTCAATTGTTTTTTATTTATTTGTTTCAATTGTTCATTGAAATTATTTGATTTAATTACTTATATTGAATGATTATTTAAATTATTTCTCAATTATTTAAATTGTTTATTTTTATTTAAATGTTCATTATTTATTTCAATTGTTTATTTATTTATTTAACATTTATTTTAATTGTTTATTGAATGCTTAATTTTAATTATTTATTATAATTTTATATTTAATTATTTTCTTTAAATTATTTATTGAACATTTAAACGTAAATATGTAATTATTCGTTATATTTTCTTTAGTTGTTTATTCAATATTTATTTTAATTATTAATTGAATATTTAATTATTTATTTTAAATGTTAGATATTTATTTCAATTGTTTATCTACGTTTTAATTACTTACTTTTATTATTTTAATCCAATTATTTTTCATTTATTTGTTTCAATTGTTCATTTAAATTATTTGATTTAATTACTTATATTGATCGATTATTTAAATTATTTATTGAACAAGTGAACATAAATATTTAATTATTTATTTCAAACGTTAGAAGTTTATTTCAATTAAACTTTAATTAATATTTTGATTATTAACATTTATTCATTTATCATCTAAATAATCATTTAATTATTATTTAAATGTTCATTATTTATTTTTGTGCATTTCGATTAATTATTTATTTCAATTGTTTTTCATTTATTTGTTTCAATTGTTCATTTAAATTATTTGATTTAATTACTTATATTGAATGATTATTTAAATTATTTATTGAACAAGCAAACGTAAATATTTATTTATTTATTTCAAATGTTAGAAATTTATTTCAATTAAACTTTAATTCATATTTTGATTATTAACATTTTTTCATTTATCATTTAAATAATCATTTAATTATTATTTAAATGTTCATTATTTATTTTTGTGTGTTTCAATTAATTATTTATTACAATTGTTTTTCATTTATTTGTTTCAATTGTTCATTTAAATTATTTGATTTAATTACTTATATTGATTGACTATTTAAATTATTTATTGAACAAATAAACGTAAATATTTATTCTTTATTTTAAATGTTAAAAATTTATTTCAATTAAACTTTAGTTAATATTTTGATTATTAACAAATATTCATTTATCATTTAAATAATCATTTAATTATTATTTAAATATTCATTACTTATTTTTGTGCGTTTCAATTAATTATTATTTCAATTGTTTTTCATTTATTTGTTTCAATTGTTCATTTAAATTATTTGATTTAATTACTTATATTGAATGATTATTTAAATTATTTATTGAACAAGTAAATGTGAATATTTAATAATTTATTTCAAATGTTAGAAATTTATTTCAATTAAATTTTAATTAATATTTTGATTATTAACATTTATTCATTTATCATTTAAATAATCGTTTAATTATTATTTAAACGTTCATTATTTATTTTTGTGCTTTTCAATTCATTATTTATTCCAATTATTTTTCATTTATTTGTTTCAATTGTTCATTTTAATTATTTGATTTAATTGCTTATATTGATCGATTATTTAAATTATTTATTGAATAAGTAAACATAAATATTTAATTATTTATTTTAAATGTTAGAAATTTATTTTAATTAAACTTTAATTGATATTTTGATTATTAACATTTATTCATTTATCATTTAAATAATCATTTAATTATTATTTAAATATTCATTATTTATTTTTGTGTGGTTCAATTAATTATTTATTCCAATTATTTTTCATTTATTTGTTTCAATTGTTTATTTAAATTATTTGATTTAATTACTTATATTGAATGATTATTTAAATTATTTATTGAACAAGCAAACGTAAATATTTAATTATTTATCTCAAATGTTATAAATTTGTTTCAATTAAATTTTAATTACGTATTTTGATTATTAACATTTATTCATTATTTATATTTTTCATTTATCATTTAAATAATAATTAAATTATTATTATTTAAGTAATGATTAAATAATTATTTAAATAATAATTTATTGTTGTGTGTTTCAATTGTTTAATTCACAGGGGAAAAAATAAGATAAAAGGCCCAGGCCGTCATTAGACGGCTTGGGCCATTTGTTGAAGAAGACGGCTATCTCCAGCCAAAAAAACTCAAAAGAGGCAATTTCTAGTAATTTTACATAATTTACAAAGATTTTTACCACTATTTCCAACAAAATAAACATTCAACATCCAAGTTCAAAGATTAATGGGGAAAAAATAAGCAAAACTCACTTTCTTCGCCTCTAATGGTGGCCGGTCGGTCTCCTTCCAAAAAAAAGTCGTCGATTTCCTTGCTATTTCTTTTCCTTCTTTCTCCAGACGTCGATTTGAGAGTGATTTGTTAGGGGTAATATTGGGTTTTCATTGTTTTTAAGGTTTTTACAAATTTTTCAATTTTTTTTTTAAAACAATAGTCAACGACCATTTTGGAAAATTGTCTATTTTTGGTGGCTATCTGCAACCATTTCCTCCACCCCCTTTGCTCTCATCTCTTTCATCCATCCTCCATTCTCTATCTGTCAACAGAGATAGCGACTGCACCACAATCGCGCAAAGAGACCTTTGACAGTTCTACCCACGGCTTAAATCGACATTACGTTGCTACAACGTTGTGCAGCTACATGCGGCACTCACAAGTTGTGCCGCTACATGCAGTCAAGACACTGTGCCACAACCGCAGCTACAACTATATTTTTTGGTAGTTTCTCCGATCTGTTGCTTTACAGAACTTTTGGTGTATTTTTGTTGCGGTTAGGGTTTTTGTTGGTGAGGTGGTGGCTGTGGTGTGATAGTGTTGTATGAGATGGTAAATTCTAGCTGGAGGTGGTGGTGATGATGTGTTG